ATAATAATTGTCAAAAAAAAATCTAAAACTCATAGTTTAATTCAATTGTAACATATACATATTTAAAAAAAAATCTCAAAAACTCAGCAATACAAAGTATTTCAAAAATTCATGCATTTTCCTTTAAAAAAATTGGTTTTTAATATTTTGTATTCCAAATATGTTTTCTTATTAAAAATTCAAAATATTTCAAAAACTTTGTTTTTCCAATGAAAAAATTTAAATATTTTTTATAAATTTTACTTGGTATAAAAATTAGGTTAAAAATCTTGTTTTTGAAAAAATAATTTTTTATTTTCTAATAATCTAAAATATTTCAAATATGTCTTGATGAATTTTAATTTGAGTGAAATATTTCAAAAATTTCAGTTTTTTAATGAAAAACTTTTCATAAATTTTTATTAAAAAAAATGGTTTTAAAAATTTTATTTTCAAATTAATTTTTCTTAATAAAAATATTATGCAAAACATTTCAGAAATTTCCTTTTTTTTGCAATGAAAATATTTCAAAGATAAAATTTAAAATACCTGTCTCTTATACACATCTAGATGTGTATAAGAGACAGGTAGAATAGTTGGCAAGCTTGGCTGTTTTTTTTTTTTTTTTTTTTTTTTTTTTTTTTTTATAATTATTTTTATTAAAAAAAAATTTTTTTTTTTTTTTTTTTTTGAACATAACATAGAAAAGCAAATGAAAACAAAAAAAACATTATTTTTGATTGTTGCATTGTAAAAGAGAATTTAGCGACTAATTTAGTTAGAATAAGCTTATAAAATATTATATAATGATCTATGTATATTTGTATGTAATATATGCAAATACTTCATTTTTTCACTATAGTTGATAATAATAATTTTTTGTGACTAAAAATAAAGTTGGTCACGTTTTGCTCTAAGTCTGTCTTAAAATTCAGACGATGCTAACGACAATAGCTTAAAGTACCCTGCTGCGAATAATTCACTATATCTACGTTTATGTGACGCAAGCTTTGCACACAGCACCGTTAATTATCGCATATAAATGGTTGAACATAGCTGATAAGCCAAGCGTATGGTTTGTTTGCACTGTACCAAATTAGCAAGTTATTATCATTTAATAAGCAATTACTTTCTAAATTAGAAGCAAATAAAAGTTTATTTACTGGAACAAGATACGTTTATCAGCCGATTTATTATCACTGAACTTTGCAAAAAAGATGGGTAATATTAAAATTCTAAAATTAGAAATTGTTGAGAGTGAAACCTTTTAATTTCAAGGAAAAATTTTTGGATTTAAAAAAATACATTTTTTATTAAAAACTTTTCTGAATTAAAAAAAATTTAGTTAAAAATTTCTGAACTTCAAAATAATATTGTTTAAAATAAAACTTTGTAAATAAAAAAATGCTTTTTCTTGTTTAAGAATTTTTGTATTAAAAAATTCATAATAAAACTGTTTGAATT